GATAGTAGGTTATGGTAGTTAATTTGCCAGTTGACACACAGCCCTTTTTGACATGCAAACACTGCTCCTTTTATTCTCTTCCCCCTCCCCCTCCTCCTGCATCTCAGTGGTTGGGAGTGCGGTGATGGTACAAGGAGAGAATAGAAATCAGGCGGAGCATGGTTCTGCTGGGATTTAAGAAATGGTGGATCTTGTTTGCTGGGGGGTTTCCTAGCCTGCATGAAAAAGGATTATGTGGGTTTTACTGAGAGCAGAGACAAGAGAGGGAAAATGTGAGCTTACTGTTAATACCTTGCAAGATATTGGCTTTGCTTCTTTCCGAAACAATGGAAACAACTTCAAAGAACTTAGCCCAGAGCTTTGATGTGGAGGAGGAGCTGGGTTTGGCAGATTGTGCACTGATTCTGCTCCGGCTCACTTACTTACTTACTTACTTAGAAAGGAATCCTTTAGTGTAAGCCCTGGAGACCTTTCTTGCTGGCCCTCAGCAACATTTGATGCCCACCCTAGGGCTAAACAGGGTGGTCCAGCTTTTCATACCAAGTGGCCACAAGAGTATTTCAACATGGAACAAGGATGTCTTCTGCTGCTCCAGAGTGCAGGATCTGAACCAGTGGATGATGATGATTAATTAATTAATTTAATTTGTTTACTACCCTATACCCGCAAGTCTCAGGGCAGTTACAGCATAAAATCATAATAGAAAAACACAGAATACATAATAGAAAAAAACAAAGAAACCAATAATCTAATATTAAATTATTCGAATTACAAGAAAAGAGATTCTAGCTAAACATTAGGAAGACCTTTCTGACAGGAAGAGCTGTTCAGCAGTGGAACGGTCTCCCTCGGGAAGTTGTGGACTCTCCTTCCTTGGAGGTTTTTAAGCAGAGGGTAGATGATCATCTACCATGGATGCTTTAGCTGAGATCCCTGCATTGCAGGGGGTTGGACTAGATGACCTGTGGGTCCCTTCAACTCTTCAATTCTATGATTCCATGAAAGCATTAAAAAGAATAAATAAAATAAACAATAAGCTAAAAACCAAATTAAAATGCATGTCAACATTCTACATGGCTGGATAGCCTTGCCTAAAGAAACACCTTTTAAGAAGGCACTGAAAATAGTACCGTGAAGGTGCCTAGACCACAAGTGGTGCCAATTCACACCAATGTCTTCTCACATGATCCCCACTTTTGATAGAAGCCACATGTGTAGTTATATCAGGAGACGAAGTGTTTATATTAATGGTTAGCCAATCCTATTTAGCATGCATGGAGCATGGAAACCAAACTGCTTGCAAGGATAAACGTACGGGATACTCCCCCCCCCTTAATGGAGATCTTTCAATACTTCTCAGTTCAGCAGCCAAAATCTTTTTTAGTCTTTTTTTGTTGTTGTTCCCTAGAACTGTTGGAGCCCTTTTCCTCAGCTAATTTGTAATCCAGTTCAGTAGCTGCTTCTCATTTCTTTCGCTTTCAGAATTTGTAAATGGTGCTGCTTGCTTGACTTGCATTCCTGACAAACTGGCTGTGCTGTTTCACCCCAAGGTGGTGTGGATTTGGGAGCTGAACAGCTTTGATCTCGCTTCTCTGGAAACTTCAAGCTGATGCTCTCCATCTAATTCATTAGAGGCAAAATATCAGATAATGCAGCATTTTCATTCCTACACTGACTAACAAAAAGAAAGGACATTTTATTTGAGGTTAAAAATTAAGAGTGGAGTCCAGTTGGTACTCTGGCACTCGCGAAGGAGGTTTTTATTTTATTTTAAATCCATTGGGTTCCTCCATTAGTAGAAGGAGTGGCGGAATCACTGTCTTCCTGGAACCCAGAGAAATTGGCTCCGGAGAATGGCAGGGCCCTCCAAAACAGAATGATGGATGCCAACTTGAATTACGTACTTTCGAAGAGGACTAGACAAATTCATGGAACATAAAGCTATCAATGGCTACTTGCTAGGATGGCTATCTTCTGTCTCCAGTAATCTCTGAATACCAATTCCTGGGAATAACAAGTGGGAAGAGGATTGTTGCATTCAGGTCCTTGTTGCAGACTTCCAGTTGGCCACTGTGAGAACTGGATGCTGGACTAGATGGGTCATTGCCTACATTGGCTCCCAGTACATTTCCGAGCACAATTCAAAGTGTTGGTGCTGACCTTTAAAGCCCTAAACAGCCTCAGCCCAGTATACCTGAAGGAGCGTCTCCACCCCCATTGTTCAGCCCAGACACTGAGGTCCTCCTCCGAGGGCCTTCTGGTGGTTCCCTCTCTGCGAGAAGTGAGGTTACAGGGAACCAGGCAGAGGGCCTTCTTGGTAGTGGCGCCTGCCCTGTGGAACGCCCTCCCATCAGATGTCAAGGAAATAAACAACTATCTATTTGACTTTTAGAAGACATCTGAAGCCAGCCCTGTTTAGGGAAGTTTTTAATGTTTGGTGTTTTATTGTGTTTTTAATATTCTGTTGGGAGCCGTCCAGAGTGGCTGGGGAAACATCATCATCATCATCATCATCAAGCAGCCTCTTAGAGGATGCAAAGCTGCCATGGGGGGGATGCAAACATGAATTGGCAAAAATGGCATCTTCTTCTTCTCTTAAGAGACATCAATGTACCCTCCCTCACCTTGGAGGATAATATCTAGTGATATCAAATGCCACATTTCTGGATATTCCACCCTCAGTATTTTAAAACTTCCATCTTAGCTACAGCACCCTTTGATTCACATCAGAGTACCTGAAGAAGATTGGAAGCCTGTTTGTTTGTTTTTGTTTTTTTAATGCTTTAAAACTTTCTGTGTTTTGTTAGTCACTGTTATCTCAAGTGTGGAGAACTTCAGGCTGAAGAACCCATCACAGCCCTCTAAGACTCTGCGTCTGGGACTCTCCCTTGGTCATCCACCCTGCCCCTGTCACACCTTTTATTGCCCCTGTTTCATATTGTTTTTCATTGCTTTTGCTTGGCTGGAATGTGTTCATCAACTCTGACAGTGCCTCCCGCTTCACTGGGATGGAGGACAGAGGGGTGTGTGTGTGTGTGTGCGTGCGCGCTGTACAAAGGTAAAGGGCAATAAAATTGGGGGAGGAAATTTCAATGTGTGCAATGGAACCTCTCCCGCCCGTCCCATGACAACCCCAAATTTTGCCAGAGGGTTGGAGGGTGTCCCCTAGGACAGTTATAGGGTCCCATAGAAGGGAGGAGAAGGGGGAAACATTCAGTTGCACTAGGATAAATCTTTGCACTGAGGGAATGCTTGTTATATCGAATTCCACCCAATATTTATATTAAGGACCACTTTTGCCTCAGACTCCACCTACCTCTGGCATGTGGTCTTCAGAAGGTTGCTAAGATGCTTCGGCCCTCAGACTAAGAAAGTTTCCACACTCCCGATAAATATGTTTGTCTGTGTTCACTAAATGGAGTTTTCCACAGTTCTTCATGGTAGTTCAGTTTTCTCCCTCCTCTGAGCAACATTTATGTTAACCAAGAACACTTCATTCAGTCTCCTTTGGGCCAGCTGATACCGCAGGGGTTTGTTGCTGGGCCTCTTCTCTTCAGACGCTATCTGCTTCTGGGGAATTTTCTTTCCCTCCTGTTTACAATACTCTCGGTTCCTGTCACAGCCTGGCATGTTTATATCTGCTGCTCATTCTTCCAAAGCTTCCAGCCATCCTGTTTCCACATCATTCCCTATGTTCCACCCACCCATGCACACGCTTTGGGTGGGCACATGAGGAGCAGTCCATTCTGCAGGCAACATTTCCTCTTAAATTCCAGCCAACCCTGGAATTTCCTTCTACACCTGTAATTTATACTACAATTATGGTTTGTCGGTTATTAATATTAATACAATTGAATTTATCAATAAACTGTTGGTTTATTAATTAGTTAGGCCCCTCAAAGAGTGAACAACATATCCATATAAATGAAAGATGCAATAAAAGTGAAATAAGTCAATCAAAACAATATAAAATAGCACACTTGCCAAATCTCATTGGTGAGCATCTGAAAGCAGCCCTGTTTAGGGAAGTTTTTAATGACTGATGTTTTAACGTATTTTTGTTGGAAGCCGCCCAGAGTGGATGGGGAAACCCAGCCAGATGGGCGGGGTAGAAATAATAAATGATGATGATGATGATGAGCTGCTCTCCAGCATTCCACATTTTATTTGGAAACCAGGTATTCTCTCTCTTGCCCTCCTTCCCTTCCTCTCTCCCTCTCTTTGACTCATAGAATTGTAGAGTTGGAAGGGACCCCAAGTGTCATCTAGTCCAACCCCCTGCAAAGCAGGAATCTCAACTAAAGTATCCATAACAGATGGTCTCCTTGTCTCTCCCCCATCCACAACCAATTACCATGGAGGAACGCCCTTACCCACATTATACCCCAAAGCAGCAATTCCCATTGATGTTGTTCCCTTTGGAGCCAACTCATCAGTGGCAACCCATCACAAATCTTGGTCTCCAGATATATCGTGTCCCCTCTCCCCAGGAACCAGCCACAGTTGTGTCAAAGTTCTTACTCTACAGGGGTAGAGATAAATAGCCAACCCTTCTGATTCCTCCAACAGGCTGTTCTTCCACAGTTGCAAGAGAAAAGGGCTGAGGAGGCTAAGATGCTCTCCATCTGACAGCCAGCAATAGTCTTACTTGTTCCCTGCTTCCTCTGTAATGACCACAGTACAACCATGATAGCAGGTGGTCTCTATGCTGCCAAGTTCAGCAAACTACAGTTCCCAGGATTCTTTGGGGGGAAGCCACGTGCTTTAAATGTTTGGTATGCATGTGACAATTCTTTCCCTCCCCCTCTCTCCCCATTATAGTTCTCCTCTGCTTCCTCATTTTGTATCATCCTGTCTCCTTTTCATGTTAACCCTTCCCACCCACTGCAAAGCTGTCGCTCCTCCTGCAACAGCTGCCATGTTAAGATTGGCGGCAGGAACTAGCGTGACATATAATAAATGGAGGGGGGGAATCATTCACAAATCTTCTCTTAATCCCCCCCCCCCCCAGCGACTGCTTTAGATGTCAGGAAGAAAGACGCTTCTGTTCACAAACAATCCCTTTGCATCATCCATCCTCCTCTGAGGGCAGCAGCCAAACTCCACGAGTTTCAGGGCATATTTTGCAAAGCAGAGTCCTCTCTGGAAAAAACAAAACACAAAACGGTGCAGCAAAAGGATCAATCCGCATTATCGGCATTCCCTTCACTAATTAAAAGGTGCCATTTTTCCTCCGTTTGAAAAGCACCATCTCCCCATCACCTCTCTCTTTCTTGCTGGCGGCTTTGATCAGAATTGGGCTGTACTCCAGAAACTCATTAAAAAGAAAGTGCAGCCAACTCTTACTTTAAAAGAAAGTGTGTGTGTGTGTTGGCGGAGGTGGGGGGGGGGAGAAGATTGCTCATCTGTCAGAAGAAAGACAAACAATGTCATACGATTGGCTGCTAATTTGCTGTCCCCCAGGAGCTCTCCTTTATTTTAACTTTTTAAATATATATATATATAAACACAGAAGGGAGCTGAGCTACTGAAAGATGCTGAGTCAACCTGGGATCTGCTCAGCTGAAAGCACTTTCCTTTCTTAGACTGGGCAGGGAAACGACATGCAAAACTCTCCACTGCAACACCATGTGGCCAAAGGTGCCAAACTCTCCTCCCCCTCCTCCTCCTCCTCCTCCTCCTTTAAATAGCTTTAAAGCTTAGGAATGAGGAATTTTCCTGGATAACACCACTACCTAATGTCTCTTACAATATGCCACTGCAATGGAGTGTTGGGTGCGTTCTGGGAAGTTTGAGGTCCAAGAGACACAGCCACTTCCCCTTATGAGCCAAGTGTGTGTTATGTATTCAGTGCTCTGTATTTGCCTAAGCTTGAGTCTGGACTAAGGATTCTGAGCTCCTGTGTGCTGATTCGATACATGTTGTCCAATCACAGAACATTTCAGGATTTTAGCCTCTGCCATTGGCCCTTGAACTCTGAGTCACAATTGGCAGCTTGGAAGTGTAGACAGCCAATCATGTTGGGAGTGGGAGTGGCTTTCAGAAATGTATATAAGTAGTTGCTTTGCCTCTGTTTTCCAGTTATGTAGTTGAATAAAGGCTCTTGCTGTTATTACTGTGTCTTGCCTCGTGGGAACCCACCCACACTTCAGTGTGGGTGCTGGAACACGACCCAGAATCCTTTGCAAGCACATTGGCATTCCATGGCTGCTGTGCGTGACTACAGGGCTGGGGTCAAGAATCAGCTTGGCTGGGTGCCTGCCAAGGACTCACTCCCAATGGCACGAGCCTCCTGCTCCTCCTCTCCAACACTGCAACCTTGCTCTAGCCCAGAGGGGATGAACAACTAAGTCCAGGGTGATGGCAACTATTGCTGAGTAACATCTGCAGGTCCACAGGTTCTCCCCACCCCTGCAGCGCCCACAAGGGAGTCCAAGGCTTTTGTTCTTCCAACAGCTGCAAGGAATAGGGAAATTTGTCAAGTTTAATGTCTTGTGTTATCACTCTGTAGGAGAGGCAAGCTGCCCCTGTGAGACTCCAGCTCCCATCAGCACCAGCCAGCATGGCCAATGCTGGGGAATTGGAAACGCTGGTCCATCAACATTTGTGTTTAGCGGGTGGCGCTGTGGGTTAAACCACAGAGCCTAGGACTTGCCGATCAGAAGGTCGGCGGTTCGAATCCCCACGACGGGGTGAGCTCCCGCTGCTCGGTCCCTGCTCCTGCCAACCTAGCAGTTCGAAAGTACATCAAAGTGCAAGTAGATAAATAGGTACCGCTCCAGCGGGAAGATAAACAGCGTTTCCGTGCGCTGCTCTGGTTTGCCAGAAGCAGCTTAGTCATGCTGGCCACATGACCCGGAAGCTGTACGCCAGCTCCCTCGGCCAATAAAGCGAGATGAGCGCCGCAACCCCAGAGTTGTCCGTAACTGGACCTAACGGTCAGGGGTCCCTTTACCTTTACACCTTCAAATATCACATGAAAGACTTTAGGACAGGATGGATGGAACTGGGGTCCTCTGCTGCTTCTGCATCCATGCTATATAGGAGTGTTTGTTTTTGAAAAGGTCGGTGGGTGGGAGTGCCTTTTTATTTAAAAGTCTTCTACATGCATGCATGCATATTGAAATCCTGTTAGTGCGGGAGCTTTTATTACTCATGCTCCTCCCACAGGCTGCAACTGAATAAGACAAATGCAAATTACAAAGTGTCAGCGTCTTGGCCAAGGGTCAAAGGTAGCATAGAGGAGATGAGTCTGTGGTTTGTTATACATCGTTCCAGCATACAAATAGTGTCGGGTATTACATTAATGAAACAGATTCGTGAATAATTGTGTTTGTTTATTTATTGAACAGGATTTCCATTTTGTAAAATTTTGCCAAACCAAGTAGTGCCCTTCCATCACCATTGCTATACAGAAGGAGGAGGAGGAAGAGACTTTTCAGGGCTAAACTGGGATATATACTCAGACCTCATAAATGAGGATGGGGAGGATAACCACGTAGCTCTTGGACTGCTGCTTTGGAAACCTAACAGTGGGTGTAGCTTGCAGGAAATCTAGTTATCAGTGATATATCTGCAAGACTGCACCATCTGGCTGACCGCAGTGGAAAGCAGGATGCTAGAATTGCTGGACTATTGAACCTATGCAGCAAGGTTTTTCAGATGCTTTTATGACATGGCACTACTGAAGATGTAGGTTTGCTGCGAGGAGTTAACAATTTTATTTTGTTTAAGTGTTTGCTAATGGATAAAACAAAAGGATCTAGACATGTAACAAGAGAGGGCACAATGGTGCTTGGTTGACCTTGGAGAGTGCTTAGGTCATCTGTTATCTGTGCTAGAACTAAATGGTACTCTTTGGCTAGTGTTAATAGAGTATTAGAGACATGATAGCTGAATAAATTATATCTTCCACTTAGGGAGAGCCACGTTCTTTGTAAACATTAATTGAAGACTAGAGACCTATACTGTGTATTTATTTACATTTACTGTAACTAAGTGTATACATTGCTTAATCGATGATGACGTCTTAGTGGTTTATTAAGTACAATCTAATCTAAAACGTTCATTAAAAATAAATAATCTGTCTATCTATCAGATCAACAATTTTAAACTGTTGTAAAACAATGACACCTAATAAAAGTACATGTTAAAATTAATATCTCTTGTGAATCTCCCGCTGTTTAGGTTCATTGGATGACGTGGGGTTCTAGTGTCACGAGCAAAACTTGCATGATCTTGTGCCCTTTTCCCTTTCACATTCCCACCCCCCCAAAAAAAACTTAAAATAATAGACTACCTTCTTGAATTATCAACAGTCAAAAACCAAATAAGACATCTCTGCTCATTTGTACATGCTGTCTCCATGCTGTATTTTTTCTGCAAACTAGATTTTCTCCCCCATTAGATATCAACGGTTATTGAACAGTGTGCAAATCAGAACTTTGTATCTGTGCCCACACATTTCTAAGCCTTTTCCTCAAAACCATGAGGACTACAAATTCCTCTTTAAAGGGAAGAATGAAACCTCAGATTGGGACAGCAATAGTATTCTGTTATAGCATGCTCAAATGTTAAGCTGGAAAGCCTTGTGGTATATTCCAGGGTGTGCATGGATATAGGATTGGGTAATCATCAACAGCTGTTGTAGGATATTAAAAATACAGAATAATTGTTGGAAAATGAGCCTCAAATCACATGGTTTTTTTGTGACTGCTTCTTAGTGTTTCTCCCTTAGTCCAAGGTTTCCTGCAGTTGTTTCCATGGAGATCAGGCCTAATGTGGCTGCTGACATGGAATATTCTTAGCCAGTTTACATCTGATAAAGAAAACTCCTCCCCTCCACACTTCACTTTCTTCCCGAGTCCTTTGCAATGAGTTAAAGGCTGCTTGCTTGCTCTGAAAGTCACACAAAGTGGTGATAACTAAACTCAGAGAAAGAATGAGGAGGAAATCAATGTGAAGGGAGAAGATGGACACACTCTAAATTCACAAATTACACTATGCGTATAAAAATCAAAGTATTTTTGGATTTCTTTGAATTCCTGGGCAGCGCTGGGCATTCCCCAATATTTGAGGGGCTGGGGCATTGCTTTTGTTTGATACAAAGTTATGTATTTTTTGTGTTTTTATATTGATCTTCGGATGGCGGGCGGAATAGGATTATGATTATGATTAAAATGATGCCAGGTCTCTGGAATGCTGGGGGAGGAGTTGCCTTAGTGAAAGTATTCTGGGTAGTTAGAAACCAGTTGAGAGGATCTGAGGGAGAATGTGAGGCAAGGCCTTTTTTCAGCCGGAACTTGCCGGAACCTCTCAGGTGGACGCCATTGTAATTCTAAGGGAATGAGGGAGGTGTTCACGGTGAGCTCCTGCATCATCTCTTTTTTCTAGAGAAATAGCACTGGTGTGAATCTGAGCTAGTGTCATAGAAATCAGGAAATACAACTTGTGAGGATAAGGGTCAGCATAAAATGAAATTGGGGATTAACGAGGTAATCTAGCTGTTGTTTATTTGTTTGTTGTAAATTTGTCTCACTAACATGGACAGAAGGACTTGTTAATTTTGGTTCTTTCGGTTTCTCATTTTCTAATCTTAAATTCGGTTCTTCACATTTTGCTGCCCACTTGATCATTGGCTGAAACAAGAAAAACAAATTCCTTCCAGTAGCACCTTCAGATACCACACCTATCAGCCAATCACCCATTCCCACCACCCTTCTGAGTAATACCCCTCCTCACCCTCTCACTATATATAAGGGTCTGGTGGCTTCTGTTTCAGTGTATCTGAAGAAGTGTGCATGCACATGAAAGCTCATACCAATAACAAACTTAGTTGGTCTCTAAGGTGCTACTGGAAGGAATTTTTTTATCTTGTTTCGACTACGGCAGACCAACACAGCTACCTACCTGTAACTTGATCATTGGTTGTAGTTCACAGTGGTTCTCCAACCAGAGCCAGGCTGCTGAGTCTAGACACTGTTTTAATTTCCCCCAATGCCAGTTGTGGAGGATATGTATTTTAAACATATGCAACTCTTTCCCTGGGGAGATCTGACAAACTCCCTCCCTCCCTATTATTAGGTGGGTGTTGAAAACCTTTTTTTATTCATTCCAAAAGACATTTTATAATTGATTCTGCTGTTTTTATAGACCATCTGTTGTTGTTGTTTTTAACTGTTGGTTCCCACCCACCTCTAGTTGTATGACTGCTCTGGTTATAGTTAATGCTCAGTGTGTTTTTGTTGTTGTATTTTATAATGGTACCTCGGGTTAAGAACTTAATTCGTTCTGGAGGTCCCTTCTTAACCTGAAACTGTTCTTAACCTGAGGTACCACTTTAGCTAATGCTGCCTCCTGCTGCCACCGCGCAATTTCTGTTCTCATCCTGAAGCAAAGTTCTTAACCTGAGGTACTATTTCTGGGTTAGCGGAGTCTGTAACCTAAAGCGTTTGTAACCTGAGGTACCACTGTATTGTATGAAATTTAGAGAGCTGGTGTTAAAAATGAGATATTGATAACTAAATAAAAACATGTTGTTTGATACTGTCCTTTAGATTGCAATTCCCTTTCCTAAGTTTCTAGACATTAATATTTGAGTGTGTATGTGCTTAGGGTATACATGCTCATTTATATTTATATTATTCTACTGTCTTTTTTGGCTTTCCTCTTTGTGCTTCTCTGAGAGTCTCCGGTGAACAATTAGATGTTTTTATTAAATTCATAAAATACTAAGGGCTGCTCTCCTGCTTGCTTTGCTCACCAACGTCCCTGCCATTCCCCCCTAGAGCTTTCACTTACTACCCCATGCAGCTATTAAGCTTACTTTTCGCCTTCCCAGCTCCATTTCTGAAACC